TCCATCAGGCTGACAACTTGACAGCTTGCCTGCTTGGAGCCTGACACAGAGCAGATACCGCTTGTGTCCAGGAGGGGGCGAACTAGAGCGGCGTGGACCAGGTGGTGCGGTGAGGAGAGGGCGGAGTCTGGGCCTCTGACTTGTGAGCCTTCGGGATTTGCTGAAAAAGCAAATGTGAGGTAGACTAGAAACGGGAGGCCGGGCTGACAGCATCTCTGGAAGGCTGGGATGGGGAAGGCTGCGTGCACGTGGAGCAGTCTAGGCCTGGAAATTGGGAGTTTGGTTTTGGCGTGCGGAGTGAGATGGTATGAGCAGTCAGTCGCAGTTGGATGTATGAACCCAGAGTTCCTGGGTGAAGTCCAGGCTGCAGGTTTAGGGTTGGCAGTTGTGGGACTGGGTGAGGCCGCCTGGGGAGGGAGTGAAGCCTGGACCCGCTGCGCCGTGCAGCTCTGCCTCAGCCCCCTGTGGCCCCAGGCTTCTGCCGTGGGGAGTGGCAGCTCCGCAGGAGGTAAGCGGGGCCACTGTGCAGAGCTGAAGATGCTGGCTTCAGGGTGGAGCACGCCCGTGATCCCAGTACTCCCGGAGGCTGAGGCAAGAGGGTTACAAGTTGGAGCCTAGACTGGACAATTTAGCCAGACCCTGTCCCAAAATAAAATTATATTTTTAAATTTAAAAAAAAAAGGGCTGGGGGATGTAGCTCAGTGGGAAGGTCCTGGGTTCAAAAAGAGGAGGAGAGAGGTAGGAGGGGAAGGAAAGAGCAGGGGAAAGGTGATTTCCTAACAAATGAGACTTTCTTTCGCTTGAACACAATAAAACCGGTGTGAGCTTATCTAGCCGTTCCTTGGAGTCAGCCAGTTTCACACAGGGTACCTTCTACCCCCACCACCAGGGTGCTCTCTGATTGTACAGTGAGAAGGTGTTTAACATATCAAAACCTCCAGGCACATAGAGTGATTAAAACCACCAAAATGGGTCTGAGTAAAAAAATGCACATTCCATACAAGCTCCATTTCCTACATAAGATAAGATTTTTTTATATAAAATTTCACGCTTGGAACACACACCTTCCTGGGAACAAGGATCAAACAGTACCACGTTAGACACCGATCTTGGGGTCCTACACTGTCTTCTATGTGTCTACCATGACACTTATAGCCTGTTATACTAACCTTTTTATTTCCTTTACCTCCATGTTGGACTGTAGGCTTCTCAAAGAGAAATTCATTTTTTCCCCACTGCATTACAAATGCTGAGCACATTATAGCCACAGAGATACTTGATGAATCAACAGAGGACAAGGCATTTCAGGATTTCTCCTACTAGGATCTCAGGCTGCTCTGGGAAGTTCTTTTTTTTTTTTTTTGTACTGGGGATCGAACTCGGGTCTTTGCGCCTGCATAGCAGGCGGTGAAACCACTGAGCTAAATCCCCGGCCCCTCTGGGAAGTTCTAATTGGGATTTCTCAGCACTGTTCCTGGCAGTTCCCAGAGGAGGGTGACAAACAGAAGCGGGTCCTCTAGCTCCTTCCTCTGCACTGATCTCCCAGATGGCCGAGGACTTTCTTAGTTTGAGCACCCACAGGTTATTCTGCTCTGAGGTTGCTTGAGTTTTAGACACCAGCACCAGAGAGCAGGATGAGGGTAAGTGAAGTATCTGGTGTCTTGCCAGGCTCAGTTCAAGTGTTTGTCAAACTCACTCACTGGAGAAAGAAGGCGAGGAGGCTCTGGGTGGGCTCTGACCCCTGCCCCAGCTTTAACCAGAGCAGCTGTGCTGTGATCTGTTTATGTTGTTCTGCCCTGGTGGGGACAGGAGCCCCTTCTCTTAAAACAGACATTTGATTGTTTCTCCTCCCTGGCTCTCAGGATAGCATGGTATGGCATCCTGGCTTCAAAGGAGACCATCCCAGTGTGCCTTTCTCTAGTCACTGGGAAAATGGTCAAAAAGCAAACTGAAGATAGCTATTTAGTCAGTGACACCAGGCCACAGCCCGAGGCTTGACAAAAAAATGTGGAAAGTTCCTTGCATGGAAAGGAGCAGGCCCAGGGGGAGGCGTGCCAATAGCAAACAAGGGGAACACCTAGCAAAGGGTCAAAATGGTGTTTACAGAGGTGTTTATTATGTAAGAGACTAAAAGACAGAGGAGGTCTCTGCTTTCAGTCAGCCTGGATTTCCAGTGGGCTGAAGTCTGCTTAGTGGGCTAGGGTAGACCTAGTTGTGGCCAGAGACTCTAACTCAGGCCTGACCTTGACCTTCTCACAAAGGATCAGACACCGAGAACCCAGGTCCTCATAACTCACAGGATCTCAAGGGCAGAGGAGCTACCAGAGTCACCTGTGCCTCTCTGTCACTTGTATCTGATAGAATGAGATGAACCACCAGTAGGCAGGCAATGGCCATGTGACTCAGAGTTCCTGGGGAAGGCCACGCTGGAGATTTAGATATGGTAATTGTCAGACAACCGGAAGAGGAGGTAAAGAGTGGATGAGCTGCATCATTCAGCTCAGCCCCAGTGACATGGTCACAAAGGGGATGCTTGCCTCTACCTAACCACTTCTTGTGAACAGCCATGGCTGGTAGCAAGGAACCAAAGGTCTCAGGAAGACCATGAGCAGGTTTTTAGCCCCTCTGGAGCAGAAGCCTCAATGACCGACTGCTGCCGCCTTTGCCTGATGGCCTTCATTGGAAGTAGAAATTTCTTCTCCCCATGAAATGTGTTTATCAAGCTATAATAGACCTAATTCACCTTGCATACCTTTCCTTTCAATTTTTTTTTTTGGTACCGGGGATCGAACTCAGGACCTTGTGCTTGAGAGGCAGGCGGCAGCACCACTGAGCTAAATCCCTGGCCCTCCTTTCAATTTTATCTCTGCCTCTTACTTTAATTTTCAGATGGCTTTCTTTTTGACCTCTCTGTGTAACAACTTTAATGGCACATCTCAATTCTCACCCAGGAGTGGTGGTAAATTACCAAATCCTCTGAAAAAGTCATAGAGGCCTCCCATGTACAACATCTGGGCAGGGCCAGGGAACATCACCCCGTAATGAAGTCAGAGCCCCAGTGAGGTAAGCAGATGCTCACCTGTCCTTCTAGAAAATTTCTCTGCTCCTGCTGAACCCCCTGTCCTACTTGAAAAGGGAAAGCTCACTTACTCATTTTTCAAATGGCTCCTTATCTTGTGTCGCTTACCCTTCCCTTAACCTCCACTTTAGAAGTACTGGAGAGAGAAGAGGAGAGAAGGCACCTCATGCTTCTCCTTGCTTGCGTGACCAGGAAACATTCTGCCAAGAGGCAAAGTTGCTGACCCCCAAGCAATTCTACTCCTACATACATACCCAGAAGAATTGAAAACCGGTGTTTGAACAGTTTGTGCATAGACATACTATGGACAATAGCCAAAGGCAGAAACAACCCAAATATCCATTAACTAGTGAATGGATAAACAAAATGTATTTGATCCATACAATAAAATATTATTCAGTCATGGAAATGAATGAAATTCTAACATTACATGCTACTGCAAGGGTGAACGTTAAAAACATCATGCTAAGGAAAAAGAAGGCCGTATATCATACAATTCTATTTATATGAAATATCCAAATTGGACAAATCCATATATATAGAGAAAGCAGATTCATGGTTACCAGGAGCTGGGAGGTGGCCCTGGAAGGTGTCTGCAAGTGGACATGGGTCTTCCTTTTGGATTGATGAAAGTATTCTGGAACAAGAATGGTGATGGGCCATATAAAGACCTTAATCCTGTTCATGAGGACTCTTCCCTCATGGCCTGATCACCTTTTTTTTTTTTTTTTTGGTACCGGGGATCAAACTCGGGTCCTTGCGCTTGCACATGATCATCTTAATATCATCATCTTGAGGGTTAGGATTTCAACATAAGAATCTGGAGGAGATGCAAACATTGAGACCATACGTTGGGCAGTTGAGGGAGTTCGATGGTAGGGTGCTTGTCTAGCACAAGTAAGGCTGTGGGTTACATCCCCAGCCACACAAAAACAACAGCCACAAGAAAACCTAGGGGAGAAAGAGGAAAAGGAAGGGAAAGATGTGGAATCCAGAACACCTCTCTTGGTTTTTCACTGTTTCTCAGTGATTTGATGCCCCAACCTCCCACTCCCTAGGGTTGGCATGCATAATACATCAATTAGCGTTACATATTTAGCCCAAGGTAGGCACTCAGATGAAACATTAATGGCTCTGTTTTCTCTGTAAATGTCCAAACCTATTTATCCCCTTTATTTCTTATGGCTGTGGTTTGTGGCTCCAGACAACCTGTCCCACATGGGGCTCACCCACTCCTTACTGCATGTGGCAGGCTGCCCCACCACTGGGATGTCCTACCTCTTGTGTATGGGCCATTTGGGTCCTTAGATCACTGCTACAGAATAACCTGAGAGCTGATTGTGTGGGGTTCATCCACTGAATCAGTTTCTGAGGGCTTGGAGATTTGCATTTTTAATAAGTGTTCCGGATGATAATCGCACATGTTAAAGTCTCAGACCACTGTGTTAATTTGTGCCTTTTTATTTTTTTTAAGATGATTCTTGCTACATTACCAAGGCTGATCTGGACCTCCTGAGCCCTGGTGATCCTCCGGCCTTAGCCTCCCCTGTAGCTGGGACTACAGGCATGTGCCACTGCACCTAGCTAATTTATGTCTTTACCATCCTTTCCTGGAAGTTCTGGCCAGATTTCTCCCCTGAGAAGCACTCTGATACCCTTTGACACCTTTGTCTGTTAGATTCACCTTGGGCCCTGCTGGGTGCATTGTCTTCCACTGGACCAAGGAACCCCCAGGGACGGAGACCTGGCCCTTCCTTTCCTTTGTTACTCAAGCACAGTGCGGCCTGTGTGTAGGTTCTCTTGGGATGCTGTAGGAAGTGAGACTCTAAAGTTCTTAAAATCCTGTTCTTTCTACTTCTGCAGCTGTTTGGTAACGATTCACTTCTCTGTCCTCCTACCATTCTATTTTTGACTTTTCTAGGTGGTCTGGGAATTTGATTGCTGTGTCACATCAGCACTTGCTTTTCCAATCCCATCTTACCCAGGATACACTAGGTGTGTGTCAGCCCCCACCCCAGCCTGACCAGGGACCATGGATCCTGGAACTGGGTCCGAGTCAACTCTGACCGTCAATGAGCAGGTATTTTCTGGGGCAAAGAAGAGGTGAGGGTGGCAGACCAAGGGATGTAGGCAAGGGGCAAAGACTGCACAGGGCCCCTCAAGGTTGGCTGTCCAGAGGAGGTTGCCCAGCTAGGACTTCTCAGGGGCTAAGTTTGGGAATTTAAGTGGTGACTCTAAAATAGAAATTAGAGTACACAGATATGTATGAATTTGCACAAAGAAAAACTTGGACATCAGGTGGTTTACTCTATCTTTTTCTCTTGCTTGTGGTTTCTGATATTTTGGTTTTGCTTTCTGATATTTTTGCAATGACTGTTTAATCTTTGTATGATTTTTAAAGGCAGAAAAAAGATTAACACCTCTTAAAATGTAATTGGAGTGAAATTCCTCATGGGTGAAGTTTGAGTGACAGAAAGCAGAAGTAACCTGACTTGCAGGATTTGCTTCCCTCATACTCTCCTGATGGGTCATGCTGTCACTTTTCCCCGCACAGTCTCTGGCTGGGCCCAATTTTCAGGCTTCAGGAGTGTGTCCTGGGAGTGTTTCAGCACAGGCAGCAGCATGCCAGGGATGGCTGACACAAGTTCTTTTCATGCAGTGTTTGTCTCTGATTTTTTTTTCTGATTCTTGAAGGGCCCAAATGGCAGCACTTCTGTGCTGAGGTAAGGAGCTGAGTGCAGGGACTAGGAGCAGGAGACTGAGTGTCCAAAAGCCCCAGGGGCTGTTCGGTCCTGGTGCATGGGAGGTATCTTGCTGTCTACTTGGAGTGGGGCAGTGTGAAGCAGGAGAGGCTGCGTCTTCAGGATACCTGATCCTTCTTCCAGGAAGTTAGTTTGCAGGGAAATCCTGGTCCTTCACTGTAGGGTTTTAGAAGTTGAAGTATCCTGAGCTTAAAAAGTTACGCAGCATTGTGGAGTTTCAGTTCCCAGCTCTTTAGCTTTAATAAACTTCCCAGTGGTTTCAAGGGAAGAATTTGTCCCTGGCCCAACTTAAGGTGTGAATACTGTGTTAGGAGTCCACACTCCAGTATCCTAGCAGCCAAGAGAACATCCCCACAGGCTGTGGGAGAGATCACTTCCCACCCCCTGAACTGATTTCAGGAAGCGGGGAATAGGAGTAACTCCCCAAGGGGTTTGGCTGGGTGGGACTTTGTCCAGTTTGTGTCAGACCCTCCTCCCCCTCCCCAGGGAGCAGTAGCCTAGCCTCGGGCCTTGCCCTCTCACAGAGCAAGCAGGCCTCTGGCCCAGAAGTGTCCACTTCTCTCTCCCCACTTCTCCCACACCCAGAGCTCAGTCCCAGCGGCCATGCCAGCCCTCCTCCCCCCAGAAATGTTCCCATCTTCTGCCTACAGGTCATCGTGATGTCGGGCCATGAGACCATCCGAGTGCTGGAAGTGGGCGTAGATGCCCAGCTCCCCGCTGAGGAGGAGGGCAAAGGACCAGAGGGTGTGGCTGCTGAGAACTCCCAGGGCGGGGCCTGTGCTGAAGCCAGTGAGCCTGCTGGTAAAGCTGGGCCAGGCAACCCAGACGCCTCTACAGAGTCAACTGGTATGAGACCATCGCTCCTACCTGGTAACACAACCCCGAGTACCTTCTGTGCTCCTGTGGCGAGCTAGCACGACCCCAGGGGTCCAGGTGACATTAGGATCTTGTCTTCCTGTCCACTGGACAGCCTTTGGCCTCGTACTCCTGGCAAGCAGGGATACTCTGCACTCCTTGTTCCTAGAACATAGTCCTTGAATTCGTTCCAGGCTTAAACTGGGATGTTTCAGGGTAAGGTGGGAAGAGATCGGCAGGGCTCAGTTTAGGGGTTAAATCAACTTCACTGGGATTTTAAGTCTAAACCAGACTCTTGAGGCCCAATGTAAAGAGGACTGGGCCTTCAGAATCCTGCCAGCTTTTCCAACTTCATCCTTTTTGTGGTTGGGCCAGGAGGTCTCAGGAGCTGAGCCTAGAAGGGTCTCTTATCTTTCTCTGTAAAGGGGACCTTTTAGTGTGAGCTGGATTCTTCTGCAGGACACTTGTGAAAGCCAGGCCTATCTGGAGGCTGAGTTGGCTGCAGGCCCTGCTCGTGGCCGTGGAATGCCCTTGCATAGACTTTCCTTGTCAACACCTTGCAGAGTGCTCATCTCTTTTGTAGGAAGCTTTGGGCTTCCTTTGCCAGTTCCCCCAGAATCCCATGACTCATTCCTCCTTCATCTCTCCTTCTGCTGTGTTCACCCATTCCCTAGATGGGAGATTTGGGCTGGCAGAATTGGGGCAAGAGGAACAGCTAAGAGCAAATGAGAATGGACAACTTCAGAGAAATAGCAGCTCCTTAACGAGGGAACTGTGTGGCCTCACTCTACTTGCTCCTCCTGTGCATCAGCATGCAGGCTCTTTGGGACCTTAGTGACCTTAGTTATTTTTTTGTTTGAATAAAAGAGTGTCAAGAGATAAGACCATCTTTCCTTAGCCTGGAAATGCTCTGCCTGCTGGCTAAAGCCAGGATGGGCCCTCAAATGCTTCTAAGAGGCAGTGCCCGGGAGAGTGGGCAGGACAGACATGGACTCTGTGTCCCTGTGACCATTTCCATTTGGTAGAGGCATTGTAAGATTGTTCAGGAGGTTTCTTGGGGTTATCTATCCATGGTCTCCCAACTTCACTTTTTTACCTTTTGTTCCATTTTTCTAATCCCTTAATTCTACTCCTTATCCAAACTTACTCTAGGAAATGGATTCTAAACCAGGAGTGGTAGTGCACACCTATAATCTCAGCACTGGGCAATTTAGTGAGTTAGTAAGACCCTATCTCGAAATTTAAAAGGGGGTAGGGATGTAGCTCAAAGCAAAGGCCCTGAGTTCAATCCAGTATGGGGAGGGGGGCCCTAAATCAATTATTTATAACTTAGCATGGATATATGAATGTTTATGCTAATATCCATCTTCTTTCAGAGGTTTGTATTTTGAAGCATTTTATGAAAGTCTTCCTCTTCACGAAATAATTTTAGTCGTGTGTGTGTGTGTGTGTGTGTGTGTGTGTGTGTGTGTGTGTGTGGTACTGAGGATTGAATAATCCAGGGCTATTGCAGTAAGCTACATTCCCCAGCCAATTTTTTATTTTGAGACAGGATCTCACTAAGTTGCCTGGGCTGGGGTCAACTTTTGATCCTCCTGCCTCAGCTTCCCAGAGTGCTGAGATTATAGGTGTACACCACCACCGCTGTTAGGAATTTTATGGATTATCAGGCAGGTGAGGGAAGTATTTTGATGGTATCCTCTTAGAAGCTGTCAGCAGCTTAGATTGATGAGAACTTTCTGGTTGTGCAATGTGAAGAAAGGTTTCCTTTTATTAAAACAAAACTAAATAATAGGAAAAATTTTCAGGATGAAAAAAAGAATCCAGTGATTTGTGTCACTCTAACTTACTATCTACTTGTCATACACATAAATTTTTAGAGTTGTGACCTCCAAGAGTAGAATATGGAATGTGACCCTTGCCATCTGGTTGCTTCCTGTGCTCATTTCCTTTATTCACATACCTGCTTCTGATTTTGGCAGTTGTCAGTTTGATGTGTTTCATTCTCATAATGCTACTTTGAACATTTAAAATTTTTAAATTCTTATTTGTGGTGCAGTCCACTAAAGTTCCTTTTGATAGTAGATTAATTGTTGACATAAGAAGTCATCACAGGGAAAGATAAAAAAGTTATACTATCACTGAGAAGAAAAGTAATTGACTTTAAAGTACCACATGTCTGTTAGGTCAGAAAATAAACAGTGATTAAAAAATAAATTGAATGGTGCTGTGAAGAAGTGACAAAAACTGCAAATGCATGTGAACCCTTGGGCTCCAGGGTCCTATTGTGGAAATAGTACCCTGATTTTAGAAATGTTTCATTTCTTTAGATGGTAAGCAGTTCTCGTTTACAGTTGTCATGTTCTCATTTTCCTTTTTGTGTTTCATTACATTTTGTCCAACACAATTCTTTTAAATTTCCCTATGCTCAGATTATCCTTAGCTTTCTTGATTTTTATTCAATAGTTAAAATGTTTCTTCCCTCCACAGACAAGATAAACCTTCCGTTTCCATTCTTTTACTGTTTTTCAAGGCTTTGTTGTTGTGTACACCATGTCACTTTAATTTCCTAAATTTGCTGGCTTCTGTTATTCTATGCTGTGAACATTACTCTCCAGAGTCGGGCTGATGTCTTTCCAAATGAAAACATGGGCTAAGACTGCAAGGTTGGATGAAGCCCTTAAGGTTATTTAATTCAGTGGTTCCCATTCCTGGCTGCGTGCCATGCCGTGTCACAAGGGGACTTTAAAGGCAGGGGGTGTTGGTCCCTGGCCTCCGGTCTTAGGCATTCTGATTCATTAGGCCTAGATTAGAGCCTAGAAATACACCAGTCATTATGAAGAAGCCACTGACCTGAAGCTGGGAGTCATGGTACTTAACTGCACACCTGCAATCCCAGCTACTAGGGAGGCTGAGGCAGGAGAATTGAGAGTTTGAGGCCAGCCCGGGCAGCTTAGCAAGATGCTGTCTCAGAAGGGCTGGAGATGTAGCTCAGTGGTCGTGTGTTGGCCAGTTGTGTGCAAAGCCCTGGGTTTGATTTCTGGCACAGCAAAAAAAGAAAAGTAGAAACAAGCAAGCCACTGAGCTGTCAAATAGCCATCAGCCAATAGCTAAATCCTAAACTCCTTTTAACATGTGAGCTTATGTGAATTATAACCCTTCTTTTCACTGTGTGTGGCTGCAGTGAGGCTTCCTGGTGGGCACATCCCAATCCCTGAATTGGCCGAGGTAGTGAGAGGAGGGGAAAAGCTATAGTGCCTGGGAATTCCTTTGGAAGCTCATAGAAACTGCTCATCTGACGTTAGGGCTCAGAGAATGGCAGAGACCCTTTGAGAGCCTGCAGTGTGACAAGGACATGTCCAGTTTTCAAGGACTTTGCCCTGTAGGAACCCTGCCTCTTCCCTAAACCAGCCCCCCCCCCTTTTTTTTTTTTGGTATTGAACTCGGGTCCTTGTGCTTGCAAGGCAGGTGGGGGAACCACTGAGGTAAATCCCTGGCCGTAAATCAGCACTTTTTTAATCCAAAAAATAGTGGTTCTGTTGCTGGCTGAGCCCAGGATACCTGTTCCCATCAATTCTAGCTATGTCTCTCCCTGCCTCTTGTATGCCTCGGGCCCTTCTGGTGTGGATGTGACAGGTTAGAGTGTCCTGTAGAGCCAGGAAAGGAGGGGCTGACACCCTGCTGCACAGAGACCTGGCTTTTCTTCATCTAGATGTGGGGAGAGGGTAGCCTGTCCGCCAGAGCTCACACAGGTCCCTCCGGCCTCCTTGTGTCCCTGCGAGTGGTGTTAGACAAGCTGCCTCATGGGCCAGGGAAGGCCGACAATGGCCTTGAGTTGTATAGAAATACAGTATGGGGCTGAGAGTAACAAGGCTGCAAACAAGATGTTCTACTCCAGGGACTCCTTACACCAGGCTCACTGCTTCTTGTTCTCTCTCTCTATGCCATGTGAAGTGAAGTCAATCCCGGGGATCCCTCCGGGCCCTGCCCCTGCCATTGTTACCTTCAGCCAAGCCCCAAGTCAGCCTCAGGCATCGCAGACCCTGACGCCACTGGCGGTACAAGCTGCCCCCCAGGTAAGGGTCTCCCCAGGGAGCTGGACAGAGCAAGAGATGGGCTGGTCCTGGGGCCCTGCGTGAGGTGGGACAGGGAAGAAGCTGTGGCTGGGGGAGAGAATCTCTTGCTAGGCTTCCCTGGTCTACCCTTGACCTAACAGGGCCAGTTAGAAAAGAGGAACTAAAAAAACCAGAAACTGTTTGCCAGGGAATCTCCTTGGGTCCAGAACTGTATCTTTCATGCTGCCAGAGTTCCTGTTTATCCAATGAGGAGTGAATACCCTTGTCAGCCCCTCCAGCCAATGCCTGGAAGGCAGAATTAATGGATTGTCCTCATTTAGAGCCAGGGAGCAGCCCCAGCTCAGTGAGAAGCTGCCTCAGGGATCCTGCAGGCACGAAGAGCCCCGTGACCTTTGCTCCTTGCCCTGATCTCCAGCCAGCCAGTCAAGGATTTCCTCCCCTGGAGCTTCTTGGAGGCCTCTTTGGGCCCTTGACCACTTGGTTGCTACCTCTGCCCCTGCTCCCTGGCCACAAAGCACTGGTCCTGTAGGCCAGGGCCCAGGGAAGGCTCAGGAGGTAGCAGACTGCCGGGCAAGAGGCCTGTGGTGGAGGCAGGTCCAGCCCTGACTCGATCTGGAAGATTCCTCCGCAGGCAGAATAGGGTGGTCCGGGCGCTCCTCAGGGTCAGGCTCCATGCAGCTAAGGCATGGCTCTCCCCCACCCTCTGTGGCCTTTCCCCCACTGCCCTCAGAATGCTTTGTTTGTACTCACCTGGGTCCAAGAGACCCAGTTCTTGCACTGTCAATGTTGATTTTTTATTTTTTCTTTTCTTTTTGAAATCTTGTTTGCTTTTGCAGGTCTTGACTCAGGAAAACTTAGCCACAGTTCTGACAGGAGTTATGGTTCCAGCAGGGGCAGTTACTCAACCTCTTCTTATCCCCATCAGTATTGCAGGTCAAGTGGCTGGGCAGCAGGGGCTGGCCGTGTGGACAATTCCTACAGCAACTGTGGCTGCCCTCCCAGGACTGACTGCTGCTTCTCCTCCGGGGGGAATTTTCAAGCCACCTTTAGCCGGTCTCCAAGGTAACGGCAACTCTCCCCAGGACTGGACCAGGCCCCCACCACCCTACACTACTGCCCCTGCACGTGTGCTTGCCATGTTGGACTCAGAACCCGCAGCCCACCCAGGGTGACAGCCCTGGAGTCCGGATCCAGTGTCCCAGGCACCCAGTCAGAGCCGCTGCTCCAGCTCGGACTCTAGGCCAGAACACCAGGCTGGCCCGGAGGCCTTTCTTCCTTCAGCGACTGCCTGAGACTGCCCCTGCCCCCACACCAGAGTCCGCCCTGTGACCAGGCTCCCGAGAAGGACTGCGAGAAGAGTCACCATCTGGTTCTTGATGTTGGCACGTGCCAGCCCTTCAAGGATCAAGGGAATTGTGGCTGCCTACCCCCATGCCCGCCACCCCGACCCCTGTCCTTCTCCTGCCAGATCCCTTAGGATTGGAGCTGCTCCGGGCTGTGGCCAGGCGTTTGAGCCCCTCTGTCTCTGCCTTGCTCCGTAGCAGCTGCCGTGCTGAACACCGCTCTCCCGGCACCCGTGCAAGCTGCCCCGCCAGCTCAGGCCTCCTTGCCAGCCCAGCCCCGGCCACCAGCTCAGCCCCAGACGCTGTTCCAGACCCAGCCACTGCTGCAGACCACGCCTGCCATCCTACCGCAGCCCACCGCTGCCACCGCTGCCGCCCCCACCCTCAAGCCAGTGGACACCAGCCCACAGATCACCGTCCAGCCCGCAGGCTTTGCGCTTAGCCCTGGAATCGTAAGCTGCTGCCCACACCCAGGGCTGACCAGGGATGGATCAAATCTTGGCCAAAGGTGGAACAGCCTTGGACCAGATCTTGGCCAGTGGAAGAGCAGCCCCTTGACTACAACCCTTGTCCAGCACGTCAACAGAGATGAGCTCCCTCCGAGGTCTTCTCCTTGGAGCGATCAGCCTGTCCGGCCCAGACCAAAGAGGGCAACCTCTGCCACGAGGCCGGGCCGATGGTCCAGAACCTGAACCAGTAGACCGGCCTTGGTGGGCGGGGTGGTGTCTTAGGGCTTGCAAACTTGTGAGCTGCCACTAAGGTGCAGCCAGAGGATCCCGGCCCCTGTGCCAGTGTCTGTCCAGTGTGGCTCCTGGCTTGGTAGCAGGGTTGCCAGATCTGACCTGGAGCACATCAGCCAACTCCAGTCTGGCCCTTCTACACTCCCAGCCTGGCACGAATGGTTGACCAGTTCCATGGCTGTGACCCTACCTTGCCCGCTTCCTATAGTCCCTGCCTAGCCCTGCGTACTGTTCAGTTAATGGACATGGGCATCTGCCTGCCCTATGCCCTCCGCCTGCTTCCCTCTGTCTGGGTCTTTTTCTTGCCCCTTGGTCTCTGAGCAGGACTCTTCCTCCACCCACAGATCAGTGCTGCTTCCCTCGGGGCACAGACCCAAATCCTGGGCTCCCTCACTACAACTCCGGTCATTACCAGCACCATCCCCAGCCTGCCAGGGATCAGCAGTCAGATCCTCACCAATGCTCAGGGACAGGCAAGTGGTCAGAGTGAGGGCTTTGGAGGCTGGGGGCGGAGGTTTGGAAAAGCTAGCAGGAGGCAGCTAGGACTTGGCCTGGTAGGCACCGAGCTGCTGTTCATAGGTCTCTGCTGCTGCTGAGAGGAGGCAGGGATGCACCCACCACCCCACCATGGGAGCGCTCATTCTGGTTGAAGAATTTCCTTTATGGAGCACTTCCTCTGAGCAGGAATTGGCATCCAGATCTCTGATTCACAAACAGACCACCTGCTGCTGCTCCATCACAGCTCTGGAGATAGAATTAGAGGCAGGAGCCTGTGAGTGTGGAGCCTTCATTTGTTGAAGAGGAAATAGGCCAGAGGGATTAAGTGGTTTGTCCAAGTTAGCCCCTTCCTCTGTCAGTGTGGGGACTTGGGTTGGGGTGGAGCTGGACACTACCTTCACATCCGGTTCCCTGCCTTATTTCCTCCCAGGTCATTGGAACATTTCCATGGGTGGTGAACTCAGCTAGCGTGGCAGCCCCAGCACCAGCTCAAAGCCTGCAGGTCCAGGCTGTGACCCCCCAACTGTTGTTGAATGCCCAGGGCCAGGTGATTGCGACTCTGGCCAGCAGTCCCCTGCCTCCACCCGTGGCCGTCCGGAAGCCAAGCACACCTGAGTCCCCTGCTAAGAGTGAGGTACTGGGGTTGGGGGTGTGGATGGGGTGACAGGCAATGCTGTCTGGCGTGGGCTCCTTTCTAGTCTGCCAGGCAGGATAACATGTTCTGAAACTGCTGGGAGAGCAGGGGTCCTCCCAGAAGTGAGGGGAAGCCCCCAGGCAGAAGCCCTACGTGAGTCCACACATGTCCTACCCAGGGAAGCTGCCCTCTCTGGTCCCCTACCACATATTCGCTGAAACATTTGTCTATGTCCTCAGAGGCCAGTGCCACTCTTAAGAAGTCCAGGGAAGGGGTATGGGGGGTGTGGTCATGGCAGACTGGGCTTTGGTCCGCTTCAGGGTGAATAAACCACTAGGAAAGCAGGAAGGTTAATTCCTCATCGCTTCTTCACTCCTCTCCCTCTTCACTCTACACCGTGGCTTTGATTATTCTTTTATTTGTTCATTCCAGAAGTTTTTTGTTTTGTTTTTTTGGCTCTGGGGATTGGACATTTAGCTACATCCTCAAGCCCTATTTTTTTTTTTAACCTTGAGACAAGGTCTCACTAAGTTGCCCAGGCTGGCCTCAGACTTGCCATTGTCCTGTCTCAGCCTCCCAGAGGGCTGGGATTATAGGCATGCACCACTGAGAAGCATCTTTTCTGGAATGCCTATTATATTCCAAATGCTGAAGATACAAAGATTTCCAGGATGCCCTTGGTGGCTCAGTGTTGGCGGTGAAGCTAGGATTGGGGCCGAAATAAGGCACTTTGGGGTCCCAGGCAGGAGAGCTGTGACATCCCAGGGGATCCAGCCAGGCTCATGGAGAAAAGGCTTTAAACCAATCCAGAGGGATGGGTTGGATGTGACAGTGTGCTGTCTTGGGGGAACGGCAGCAAGGGCCTGTGCCAGAGTGGGCGTTCTCAAACCTGTGCCTCAGAGTCACCTGGAGGGGCCACCAGGAGGATGAGTTCCTTTTTCCTTAGGTTGAAGTGGGCCCCCAGGATGTGCATTCTAGGTTGCCAGGTGACACTGAGGCCAGACGTTCTCAAATGTGTCATGATGCTTCTGAGCTTTGTCAATAATCACTTAGCTTTGTCTGAAAAATAAGAATTATAAAAGTATGTGCTTCAGAAGGTCATGGATGTTACACAGAGGCCACTAATGCTCTGGTACACACAGACCATTTGAAAAACAATAGTTCTTACTGATACTACTATTATGGAGTGGTGGGGTGCTGGTAAAGGTTTTTGAACATGGAAATGGTTGATCAGATGTGCTTTTAAAAAAATCCCTGTTACCCAGGTGGATCCAAATCTGGACTGTTGTGAAATTTGAATGATTGTCACCAGATAGGAGGCAGCTTATGTCATTCTAGCAAGGGACGAGGATCTCTGAACTGAGGCAAAAACCCTTGGGCAGGGAGAGGGGATAGATTGGAGGCAGAACCCAGAGAACTGGATCCTGGAGAAACCTGCACTCACTCCCTACAAAGTTTTTTTTTGTTCACCATACTAAAAATACTCATTTCATACATTTATAGTTTCTCCTGATGTGTGTGTGTGTTGTTGTTTTTTTGACAAGGTCTTGCTATATAGTCCAGGCTGGCCTTGAACTCACAGCAATCCTCCTGCCTCAGCCTCCCAAGTGGTGGAATTACAGGCATGTGCCACTATGCCTGGTCGATTTTTATGTTTGTTAACATTCTAACATTATATGTCATGTAAAAGTTTAAAATCCCTTGGGCCGGGGAGCTCAGTGCTAGAGAGTTTGCATGAGGCCCTGGGTTCAGTTCTCAATACCACCCAAAATAACAATAAAAGAAAAATCCCTTCTCTTTCAATCTCCAAAGATGACTTCTTGCGACAGCTTGCTTAATATGACTACAGATTTTTTTCTGAACATTCATACGTGCGTTTAAAGGCATTATTCCATAAAAATTGTTTTTCACTTAGCACCATGATTCAGAGTAGTTCAGAGAGACACTTTATTCTTTCTGTTGACATTTGTGGTGATGGGGATGAAACCCCAGGGCCTTTCCCACACCAGACAACTGTTCTACTTCTGAGCTGCACCCCCAGGCCTACTTTATTCTTTCGGACGGCTCCATATTCTCTCATTGTAGAGAGGTCCCTCCCGAAGTTACCTACTGGTTCCTTCTTCGTGGATATCGGAGGCCTGGGAGGGTCTAGAATCGGATTTAAGTTTCTCAAGGAGAGATAGGAGAGAAGTTACCCCAGAGGTGGGCACTTGGGGATCTGACCACGTGCGCTGAAGCTTTGCGAGCCTCTCACCTGCTGGCGTCACAGGAAGCTCCGGCCTGGTGGGGCTTGATGCTGTGCTTACTCGGGCCATTATCAAGGAGAGGGCATCAACAAGCAGCTTCTAATCTTGGTTTTTGTGCTAGTGTGCCGGTGGGCAGTGAGGATTTCGTGCCCATTTCTGCTCTGTCTCTGGACCACCCAGGGATTCCAAGCCAGATAGGGAGCAGCAGAGCCTTGTCTCTCTTCCCACAGGTGCAGCCCATCCAGCCCACACCAGCTGCGCCCCCGCCTGCTGTGGTCATTGCCAGCCCAGCTCCGGCAGTCAAGTCATCTGGGTCTGCTCCCGTCCCCATCACCTGCTCAGAGACCCCCACGGTCAGCCAGTTGGTGTCCAGTAAGTGGTTCCCAGAACAGAAGAGTGGAGAAGTAGGAGAAGGGATTTATTTGGGCACCCTGATCTCCTCAGACACTGTTTTCCTTAATGAATAATTGTAGATATGGATTGGTGGCACACGCCTGTGGTCCCAGCTACTCAGTGGGAGGCTGAGGCAGGAGGGTCCCTTAAGCCCAGGAGTTCAAAGCCAGCCTGGGCAACATAGACTCTATCTCAGGCAAATAAATTTCCTGGAGTCCAAAGGGCAAAGGCCTAGTATGAGAATCAGGCTTTCTCCTCCCCCTCCCCCTCCCTCCTTTCCTTGCGCTCCCTTCTCTTCCTCCTCTTCCTCTTTTTCTTCCTCTCCTCCTCCTTCTTGTTGCTGTTCTCCTTCTCCTCCTCTTCTTCTTCCCCCTATTGTTGTTCTTCTCTTCCTTCTCTTCCTACTACTTCTTGTGGTACTGCTGATTGAACCTAGGGCCTTTTACATGCTTTACACTGAGCTACCTCTCCCACCCTTTTTGTTTTATTTTGAAACAAGGTTTCACTAAATTGCCTAAAATGAGGGGCTGGGGATGTAGCTCAGTGGTTCCAGGGCCTCACAAGCACAAGGTCCCAAGTTCGATCCCTGGTACCAAAAAATAAGTAAATAAATAAATTGCCTAAAATGGCCTCAAGCTTTTGATCCTCCTACCTTAGCCTCCAGAAGCTGGGATTACAGGCATGTGCCGTCATGCTCAGCAAAGTCTTGGCTTTCTATCTCTTTCTTTCTTTTTTTTTTTTTTTTTTTGAGACAAGGTCTTGCTATGTAGTTCAGGCTGGCCTTGAACTATGTAGCACAGGCTGGCCTCAAACTCATGGCAATTCTCCTGCCTCAGCCTCCTGAGTGCTGGGATTACAGGCGTGCACCACCATGCCTGGCAAGAGGTTGGCTTTCTTAGTCCTGTTCCTGTTGGGCTGGACTCTGGGCATGACGATGGTGGAGGCTGCTCAGCTGGCTGTTTGGCTGCCTCTCTGAGAAGCCGAGTCATTGGCTGTCTCTGCTGTGTTGTTACAATCCAGCATTTGAGGAATGTGGATGGCCAGCGGGTGTGCCTGGGGAAGGAAGGACCAGGGAGCATGGGGCAGGGTCCGCAGTTAGAGCTGAGGAACTCAACAACAGACCTGATCCCTGATAGGTTGGCTCAGGGGCCTCTCCCACAGGTCCTCCTTGGCAGGGGTGGTGAGGGGATTAGGGCACCACGCGCCTTTTGCCACCCCTCACCTCTACACCAGTCCGGACCAATGGGCCAGATGAGCAGCAGTGTTGCCCATCTTACACTCTCCCTGGTGCCTTCCTCTGGCCTAGAGCCGCATACTCCAAATCTGGATGAGGATGGGATCAACTTAGAAGAGATCCGGGAGTTTGCCAAGAACTTTAAGATCCGGCGGCTCTCCCTGGGCCTTACACAGACCCAGGTGGGCCAGGCTCTGACTGCGACAGAAGGTCCAGCCTACAGCCAGTCAGCCATCTGCCGGTGAGTAAAGCTGTCCTGGACAAGGTCAGGGCCTGCTCGGTGCCTGCTGCCACTGGGCACTCGTGGGGACCTGGACATCCAGCCCCTTCCTCTATTCCCCCATGCTCCCTTCTTCTTAGGAAGACTCCTAAGGGTGGGCAGGAGCACCTGGCATAGCCAAAGACTCACCTAGCCCCTCCAGGACCTTCTGAAATTTTCCCTCCAATCCTCAGGAAATATTTGGTCTTTTGGGCAGAACCCAAGACCCAAATCCATTTGGGAACCCTAACAGGAAAGGAACACAGCTTATAACATTAGTTACAAAATTCTGCCGCCTGGCTCGCAAGGGCAAGGTCCCAAGTTTGATCCCTCGTACCAAAAAAAAAAATTAGTTACAAAAGTAGGGGTGGGTGGGACTTTAGTTCTGTCTTGCCCTCAGCTGTACCATACCTGGTCATGCTCCCATTCCCACTTGGGTAAGGTATTGCTTTAAAGTAATAGAGCTGGGCCGGGGATTTAGCTCAGTGGTTCCGGTGCCTGCTTCACAAGCGCAAGATCCTGAGTTCGATCCCTGGTACCGACAAAAAAAACCCAACGATAAAGTAATAGAGCTGAGTTTTCTGTGTGCTGCCCACAAACTAACAAATTTTGACACCAGAACCAGAGGAGGGGTGGCAGAGTTTCAGGCAGGAGTAAGTGCATGGCTCAGTGATGGCCGAATGGTTTTGTCTGCTCTGTCGTGACACTAGAGTGACTGCTAGAGCAACCACTGTGCCACACTGGCTCAGCCAGAAAGAGTCTCCTGATCAGCTATGAGAAGAGCAGTGGGAGAGGAAGGCACTCAGGACCGCCGGAGGCCACTCCTGGAAAGACTTGACCGGCTTGGGTGTGAACATCCTGGAGCAGTTGTTTAGGGCACTGTTGTCTCATCCTGCTGAGCTGGCTGTGGGAATGGTCTCCCTGTGCAGACCTGAGATATTGAAGTGTCTGATGAGTCTGGGCTCAGTCCAGCCAGGGGGGTCGTGGTGGGCTGGCGAGGGGACACTGGGTCGGGTCTCAGCAGCCTGGAAAGGAGCGGCCCCTTGAGGGTAGTGCTTCCTCCCAGGTTTGCATGTGCTGCAGAGACCGAGACGCTCTCTCTGCCCCTTCCTGCGCATGTGTGGGCTGCAGGTTTGAGAAGCTGGACATCACACCTAAGAGTGCCCAGAAGCTGAAGCCAGTGCTGGAGAAATGGCTGAACGAGGCTGAGCTGCGGAACCAGGAAGGCCAGCAGAACCTGATGGAGTTTGTAGGAGGTGAGCCCTCCAAGAAGCGCAAACGTCGAACTTCCTTCACCCCCCAGGCCATAGAGGCTCTCAATGCCTACTTCGAGAAGAACCCACTGCCCACAGGCCAGGAGATCACGGAGATTGCAAAGGAGCTCAACTACGACCGAGAGGTTGTTCGCGTCTGGTTCTGCAATCGGCGCCAGACACTCAAGAATACCAGCAAGCTGAATGTCTTTCAGATCCCCTAGGGGTCAGCCCCAGCCCTATGTTCCAGCACTTTGTACTCCTCTTGCCTTGGCACCCAGCTGTCGCCAGTGCCGTGATGGTACCTGTCATTTTGCTACGTGCGGCTGTGCTTGCCCTCGGTCTGAGACTCCACTGTGTGCATGTGCGTCGATGCCTTCCTCCTCTTGCCCCCACATCTTCCATTCTGGGGAGGGCAGAGGGGCTCCCCTGTGAGAGTCCCAGGCTCTGGGCTGGGCACGCCGCAGGAAGGGATTTGCGGTGTTACTCAGAAAAGCACTTTGCTAATAAGGTTTCGGAAAGGGGGATTTCTGCCTGGGAACCAGAAACCCCCTGTCTTTGGGGCAGAGCTGTAGCATCTCCTGAGGACCCTCGGCCATTAGCTCTTGTTTTCTTTCTATGGCATTCTCTTTCTTTTTCTCTTCTCCTGGGCTTCTCTGTGTTAGTGTGGCAGGTGTGACAGTTGATCCAGTGGAAGCACTGCCCTCCTCACCTTGCCTGGAGGCACACTGCACCCCTGAAGGGATCCAGGAGATAAAATTTAGAAAAGTGTGATATGCTGCTCAGAAGGTTGGACACATGTCTGACCTCAAGGTCAGAAGGTTCCCAAACCCCTGGGGCCAGAACGTGTGAGCTCCTCGCCCAAGTTCCTTTGAGGGGTACGGGGGGATATTGCACTAAAGCCAAATCTTATTTTGCAATCTGTGTTGGAAGGAAGCAACAGTGAACTCTACTCATCCTGGAGTTGTCCTGGGTCTGCTGCTGGAATTTAGTAAATGAGGCCATCCTCCCAGATTTTAATCTAATCTCTTCCCATGGCCACTGCCCATAAAACAAGAACTTGAAGCCTGGAAAAAAAAATCCCACTCCCCAACCACGCAGGTAGCTCTGAAGAAAAATGAGGAAAAGAATGCTGAGTTTCTGTCTCCTTTTCTTGTCCATACTGAGCCCAATCCTGTACAGGGGCCTTCTCAAAGGAGCAAATGAAACAAAAGGCCAGGTAGCAAGGCCCTCGGCAGGACAATATACAGAAGGAAATGACGGCTGCCCAGGAAAGCTTCTTTTGGGAGTTGACTTAACTCAAGTTTTCTTTTTAATTTTTTTTTTTTTAACATTGGAGAAATCTCATTTTATTGGGTGGTAGACTGTTTATTGTGTAAGCAGTCCCCAAGTTCTCCTCTGAGTCAGGATCATGCCAGATCAGGATGGGTTTGCCTCTAGAGAGGGTAGCCAGGAATGGGAGTTGGCTGCCATCCTTACTGTGGCTGGATAGCTCTTAACGTTCAGTGTGTGAGCTAGGAGGTCAGGAGAGAATTATGAACATGTTGTAGAAGCTGTCCTTAAAAGACCACAAGTTGGGCCAGGGATGTAGCTCAGTGGGACTGTGCCTGCCTGGCAAGTGCAAGGTCCTGAGTTCGATCCCCAGTACCAAAAAAAAAAAAAAAAAAGACCACAAATCCCAGGAGTGAACTACCCTTTCTCTACTTCCATCCTTACAGAACCTGGTCCCTAGCAGCTGTCCTGCACTGCACCTCGTGTGACCTCCCCTGAGGTCGTGACCACCAGGAAAGGTCCCTCATCATCTGTTGGTCCCTGGTGCAGAGCCACCTCCTAGCCTGGCTAACTCGGGTGCTCTTTCCTCTTCCGCTTAGTGCTTCTCTCTCCAAGGCCCTGCAGCGCTAGTGTGTCCACTCACTTACTACCCCTGCCAGGGAGAGGATAGTTGTGTGTACACATGCTTGCGCCCTGCTGCATTTGGACCAGCCAGACCTGCCACGAGCACGGTGGGCTGAGGAGGCAGGTGGGCAGCTTGCCTGATCCAGCCTTCCAAGGGCAAGAATATCTCCAAAGGGGAGGCGCCACACTCTGGGTCCTGGGCGACAGCCACCTCTATGAGATGGGACTCACTTGAGAGTGCTGTTACACACGTGTTCAGTAGGAACCACGACTGTATCCGAGTTTGTCAAGGGTTTGGCAAAGCGCACTTCGGTGAATGAGAGAGATGCAGGTTTCGTGCACAAATGCTTGCATTCAGGGGTGCTTTCTTTTTGGGGGAGAGACAAGGCAATTATAGCTGGTGCCCTGGGAGTAGCATAGAAAACAGGGTGTGGACAAAGCAGAGGACACCATCTGTCCTGTGGCATGGCAGGAAAAAAAAATCACAAACCACTGGTCTAAATTAGGCCTGGCTGTGTTTTCTCAGCCTCTCCGTCATCTAAATCTGTCTTCCCAAGGCTGGCTAAAATTAAATGGTTTCTGTTCCTCTAATGGAAAGATGGATTGGTCTTTCAGAGAGATGGGTGTTTGCAGGCTGAATTCTATAGGCAGTGGGGTGTGTGTCTGAAGCATACTGGAAGCAGAGCTCACCGCTGTGCTATGCTGTGCCCTTGCTCCCCTACCTTGGACCCCCAGAAAGCAGCTGGAGCCTGGGCCACTCACTGATGAAGTGGTTTTTTTTGTGGTTGTTTTTATTTTTCGTTAGTATCAGGCTCTGAAATGAGTTACTATTAATTTGATTTTGAAAGCATTTTTCTGGTGTTAAGCCAGAGCTTAGTGGCTCCTTTGCCATGGAAAGACAGGAGAATGGGCAGAAATGGCTAACTGTATAATTTGTGTTTGTTTTGTTTTGAAGTGAAAGAAAGAACAAAACTTTCTATGGCCTGCTGAATCAGCTGAGGCCTTTGACCCTGGACTGACCATGACATTTTATTCAGGCGAAGTCCAGGGAAGAATTTGGTCAGAAGAACTGAGGAACACACTTGAGTTTGGAACAAGAAATGCTGATGTTTTTGTGTTCTGGGAAATCCAGTCATCTTCCTATGCCCAGATTTCCTTTCTTGCCTCATAGGCCAGATTCTGACATTGGGGTTCTGACTATCCCCCAGGACAAGGCAATGCCTACTGAGGGCTGGAGGAAAGGGTGGGGAGGGGAGAATAGGGAAGAACCACTTGATGTAGTTGTGTGGAATAAACAGTATTTTTTCTTTTGTAACTGGTATAGCCTGTTTCTTGATCACCACCCAAGGTGGAAATGTAAGGAACCAGTGACAGAGCCCTGGGAAGTAGCAAGGGTCTGTCTTTGGCATCAGCGAATAGCCGGATGATCACATTTCAAGAGGCTGAGTATCTGCCTGGATTCTACCTGCTTGGGCCTTTTCAAGGCTTGGCCACACCCCTTCCTGTGGAGCTAAGGGTTTGCAGGCCCCTTTCTCCTTGTAGACAGACTACCATCTGGTGCATAGAACCCCAGAATCCTCTGGCAAGCCCACTGCTGGACCCCTCTCCTCTGGGTCCCAAGGACAGAGTGTTCTGTTGGAATGCACACTTGTAGGTCCAAAGGGTGATAATAACCCCCCTCTCCCTCACCAGGGATCAAACTCATGACCTTGCACTTTTGAGGTAGGCTCCACTGAGCTAAATACCCAGCCCCAAAAGGTAATGATCGTAAGTCTGTTTGGGCTGACATAACAAAATACCTTGGACTGGGTAACTTATGAACAACAGAAGTTTTCTGCTCTTGGTTATGGAGACTGGGAAATCCAAGATCAAGGAGGTGGAGGATCTGGTATCTGATAAGGAGCCTCTTTCCTATCGATAGACATCTTTACACTGTAACCTCACACAGTGGAGGGCAGACATGCTCCCTCAGGCCTCTTTTTTTTTTTTTAAGGCACTGATTCTTGTCTTGAGAGCTCCACTCTTCTGTCTAAACCAAAGGCCTCACCTTTTAATTCTGTCACCATACCTTGAAATTTAAATTCCACACATGAATTTGGGGAGACACAAATACTCAGACCAGCAGTGGCCAAGAGATTTGTCAGAAAGATGGGTGATGGGTCAGAAAGATGAGTGTAGGCTGAGGCCTCCACACACATACCTCACGAAGTGGAGAGAGCAAGGGAGTCTAAGCTGGGGCCGGACCTGGGGCACATTCTAGTATGGAACTGCAATGAGCACTGGACAGCTAAATTCTTATCTATTTATTTCAATTTTTATTAGGACATGTTTGCAGTACATAATGGTTACATTCATTGTGGGGAGGTGGTACAGGTACATAACACATCTTAATTTTTGTTTTAATCTTTCCCTTCCTCCTCCCTTAATACCTAAATTCACACCTAGCCTTCCAGATCACTATAAGGCACATTTATAAAGGTATAGGGAAGGCTAGAACATTAACAGGTAACTTGATTTATGTGGTGCTCTATAAAAATGTGGATGTTGGTAAGTGCCCCTCATTTGTGTTCTCCCCCTGGCTGCCATTAGCTTAGAGCTGGGTGAGCATAGCTGGCCTGAGCATGGACTAAAGCTTATGCCGAATCCCCTCCCTCCCGCCAGGTGATGAGATCTGGGCTGCAGAATTCCCTCTGACTCCTAACCAGCTGTGCTGGGTGTTAGATGGGTGCCACCCACGTGCTGGGGTCCAGACCACCCCCACTGCCGTGCCCTCATCCGGGGAGATAGGGCTGCCTAAGACTGACACAACACTAGGAATCAGGGGAGCTTTACAGTGCTTTACAATACTGGGGCAAAATAGTAAATACAAACCAGCACTTATGCCATCATGGGCTATGACTCTTAGTACACAGGCCAGGAACACCATAGGTGCTTGGTGACTGTCAGGTAACCGAATGAATTTCCTCCCCTCCCCTTCAAAGAAATAGTGAAAGCCTGACTTCAGGCTCCTGGGAGAGAGAGGAGACGGGATTCTGCTTAGCTCTGCAGGGTTTGGATTGTGAAATGTGGGAGTGAATGGACTCTGACCAGATAGACAGCGCCAGCAGCTCTCATGGGGAGAATCCTGGGAGCTGCTGCCTCTGGCTCAAACCAGTTGAGAGTGCTCCTGGCAGCTGGCCCAGGAAGGCTTTAAAGGCAGATTTTTTTTTTTCTTGAGGAGAGATTGCAATTTTAATTTCCAGGCATGAGAAACGAATTGCTCTGTGGACAGTTGGGGGTTGGCGGGTACTGCTCTTTATGGACTGGAGATGTGGGCTGGTTTCTGGGCTACAGACCACAGAGGAGGATCACCTCAGATTGCTTAGGGGGCTGAGACTGCTGTGAAAATTTATAATTTCATTTCATTTTAAAGGATCCTTCGGAGAAGCTAGACTGGGCCTCAGTCTCCTTGGGTGGGTTGCAGGAGGATGGGAAAAGTAGTTAGGGTTAGATGGTTAGTGCTCTGCACAGCCTGCTGGGTTATGGTTCCTTCCTGTTCCTGGAGGAAAATGCCAGGGATTGACCTAGGAACCCAGCAGTTCTGACTGGCCTGAGTAAATCTGTGAGAAGGGAAGCTGGGGTGGAAGGGTAATGACCCTGGGAGTCTGAGTCCTCATTTTTCCAAGAGAATTGATTTTTCTTAAGACTTAGGCAGCAGGGCATGTGGTCCATGCCTGTAATCCCAGGACTCAGACTGAGACAGGAAGATTGCTGAGGGTTTGAGGCCAGCTTGGGCTACATAGTGAGTTCAAGGCCAGCTTGAACTACACAGTGAGACCCTGTCTCAAAAAAACCAACCAACCTACCAACCAACCAACCAACCAACCAACCAACCAACCAAACAGTGTCTGGTGTCAGGACCTAATCTAGGAAAATAAACCCTTTACAGTGAGTCTTAAATTTGTTCACTAGGCCAACATACCTCACTTGGAGCTCACAGGTGCTCTAGTTAATTTGTTTTACTTATTATATTTAATAGGAACCATGATTTTTGTTTTGGGATGAATTTATGGGTACAAAAATTTAGTCTCTTGATACATGCTGCTGGATTTCTAGAATGTTGCTGCCCTGGACTCTTTGTTTCCAATCCTGGTTCTCCAATTTCCATCTTAGTTACATTGGGAAGAGAGAAGAAAGGAAAGGAAAAGTCATCCCTGCAGTCACAACTCCAAGGGGAAAATCTGTTAAGTTCTTTCCTAAAGGGGAGCTGGGCTCAAAGGCCTGTATCTCTGAGGCTGACCTACATTTCAGTTAGGATGGGCCATGGCTTAGGAGTCACTTTTCATTTCACCTCAGTTTACTCCAGAATTAACAGTAAGGAAGACCACTGTGAAATTTTTGTATTTTCGTTCAAAATTTAGACTTAGATGCAAACATTTCCGAGAAATACATGTTCATCATGTTCTAAACACTTTCCAGAGGATAAAACTCCATGGTAGTCCTAAATATGACACAGTTACCTCTTCCACATAGGTAGCATGACATCGTTGAAAAATCCTCTCCACCTCGGGCCTTGAGCATGCTAGGCAACTGCTTTACCAGGAGGCACACTGCTAGCCCTAAACATTTTAAAACCTACAATGTGAAGTTTCTTGGATCTATGGTGAGTTGAAGTGTATTTCTTATGTGAAAATAAGTTTAATTTTATAACAGTTTTTAAACTGTTTTCTGAGTAAATGCCATTATAAAAATGACATGTTAAAAAAACCAAAAATCCATTCTCTTTGAGCTAGTCTTCTGTGGATGAAAAAACGTATTTCATCCAATATTCCTTCATGGGCACAATTTCCTAAAAATTCAATGTTCTTATCTCCACAAGTTTCAAAACTTATCTCTGAAAGGAAAAATAAGCAAATCTCTTTTAGCTTATAACCACTGGCAGAGACATCCTAGCATGGTGTTGGCTGCCCAGGCTGCAGGGTCAGTCATACTTCGCTACTTAGAAGCAGGGTGACTCTGGACAAGCCATTTAATTTTCCTAAGCCCTTATTCCCTTATATTTGAAATGAATCTAATAATGATATTTGCCTTACAGAGGGGAGTGAAGATGAAATGAGATACCTATACAGCTAGTCAGGGCTTGGCACTTAGGAAGTACTCAGCAAATATGAGCCTGTTGTTATTTTTAGCTGTTACTTGCTCATGGAATTTCTAGGACTGAACCACCACCAGCACTGTGGGCACAGAAAGGCCTCGAAGAGAACCAGAAGTCTGGACTTCAGTCCTGAGTTCAGCTGTTAATTTATGTAATATCTGTTACATATTTAAGAATATAGTCTTGTAAGTTATGCATGTAATGAAGCAGTCACTCATAGACTCAGTGTGAGTGAACTATTAAAACTGTTGAAGCCACTTTCAAGTTTCTCTCCTAACCTCTCCTCCTGTCTTGTTTTACCTGTGATCCCCACCTAGGATTGTGTTTATTTCATTTCTCTTTAAGGGAATGTATGTACACTTCCATAAATGATATATTGCATAATTTTGCTGGGTTTTGAGCTTTATAAAGTGACACTACACTGTGTGAGGGCTTCTGTATTTCCCCCCTCAATTCTGAGATTGATTTGTTCATGCAGTTGAGTATGTCTTTATTCATTTTTAGTGCTGTGTAATATTCTGTTGCACTCCAATTTATCCATTCTCTTATTGGTGGGCATTTTTTGTTGTTGTTGTGGTTGTTCTGTTTTGCTACTAAAAACAACTGGGCCTGGTGGCATACACCTGTAATCCCAGCACTTGGGAGGCTGAGGCAGGAGGATCACCTCAAGTTCAAGGCCAGCCTGGACTGCATAGTGAGTTCAAGGCCAGACTGAACTACATAGCAAGACTCTATCAAAAAACAAAACAAAAACAAAAAGTGGACTAGTGGAATATAATATTAATTGAATCACTACTATTTTTATTGTATTTTGACACCATATTTAATCTTTACAACAAGTTTAAGAAGAGGTATGATTTTCACTAATTTATGGATTAAAATATTGAGACTCAGAGATATAAAGTTACTTGTCCAAGATTATGCAGCTAGTGGTACAGCTGTTGTTCAAACAAGGTATGGTTCTACTTAATAGGTGTTTTCTTTGGACACAATGCTGGATTACAAAAGATTCTGATCTCTTAAAAGATCTCAGATCTCCATGGGACATCTCTTTTGGTCTCTGGGCCCAAGATTCATTTCTTTATCCAGAAGCACACATTTTATGATAAAACCAACTCGAGAAGAAAAGTTGATCAAAGAGATATTGGTTGTCCCAGGAATGGACTAAGATTTGAATCTCG